TCCAGAGGAGGCCACGAGGATGACCAGGGCACTGGAGCACCTCCTGTATGAAGACAGGCTGAGAAAGTTGGGGCTGTTCAGCCCAGAGAAGAGAAGGCTGTGTGGAGACCTCATAGCAGCCTTCCAGTATCTGAAGGGGGCCTATAGGGATGCTGGAGAGCGACTCATCATTAGGGAGTGTAGTGATAGGACAAAGGGAGCGGCTTAAAACTTAAACAGGGGAAGTTTAGATTGGATATAAGGAGGACATTCTTTCCTGTTAGGGAGGTGAGGCACTGGAATGGGTTGCCCAGTGAGGTTGTGAATGCTCCATCCCTGACAATGTTCAAGACCAGGTTGGATGAGGCTTTGGGTGGTATGGTTTAGTGCGAGGTGTCCCTGCCCATGGCAGGGGGGTTGGAACTTGATGATCTTAAGGTCCTTTCCAACCCTAACTATTCTATGATTCTAATTATAATTACTTCTAGGTAGTTTTACTTAAGGCAACACATAAATTTCAAATTAAAATGTGAAAGAAGATAAATAATTAATGTAGTAAGTAATTACAATGAATATAATAGTGAAATTATATAGCTAGGAATTTACTGGTATCAGTTAATTTCTGCTTCAATCCTGTATTGTTCCACTTAAGTGACACTTGAATCCTGTATTGTTCCACTTAAATGACACTTAAGCTACATACTACCTACGAGGGAAATGTGACTCAAAAGAGCTAATGCCAAAGTTCATTCCTACTTTCTGTGATTTTTTTGGGATTGGCATTGGCAGTACAGATGATTAAAATAAGGGTTTGGATTTTAATTGCTGATCTGTTCTGATTAAAAATAATAAAAAAGCCTTTTCTTCTCAAATATTTCTCTGAATTACACACCTGTATCAAAACACTTACAATTTCCAGGGTGCCTACTTTGAGTAAGAGTGTCTTATCCTTAACTATATATGCACTTAACATTCAAATTTTGGTTTAGCTTTTTCTTGTGTGTATTCCTGTGTATATTCCGATGTGTATTAAAACAAGCCTGTAACTGCAGCACCAAGAGCTGTTGGAATTACTAGTGTATGCTTTTCATGACCTTTTGTAATTCTTTGATGGATTTGAGAGAGATTTTATGAAACTGCAGACATGGTATAGGGCATTTTTCTCAGATCAAAGATGAATTGCTGTAATTTGAATTAGCTGGCTACACTCTTCAGCTGAAATGCAATTTACTTTAAGATATATACTTAATTGTAATGAAGATTCTTGCAATGCCAGCTACTTTTGATATTGATTTTTAAGCGGGGCCTAGGTATGTGATACAGTAACAGACTTACAGGGTGATATGGGAGTTACATATATCAGGTTATTGATGCTGATTGTCTCTCACATTTGTTCTAAGGAAGCATTAAAAACGTTGGTATTTTTATCATTTAAAGAGTGGCATGGTTTCCTGCTTTGTAAAAAAAGAATTAGATTTTGTGCTTATTTCATAAGAAAAATACGTAATTTTGATGTATATTACTGGGTCAAAGTCTTCTACTCCATAAATAATAAATACGATTTTCAGTAGAAACTAAAATTCTATTCTTGCAATAGATTCTGCATGGGGAAAAATCTTATTTTGTTAGGCTATAAAGGGCTGTTTCTCAAACATAGTAGGCTCAATCACAGTGATTTTCAATATGACCAAAACTGACTCCTATTAAGATATATAATAGTATATGTAACATTGCATTAATTGGCACTTTGGCTGCAAGAGGTCCTTTGCAAGTGCCAAAGGTGTATCTAGACTGTCAGGGGGGCTTTCTGTTTCAGCCCAGGTGCCTTGTACTTTTGTTTTCCACACTGACACTGAATGTGTTCTTTTCAGGTAGCCCAGAGAAGCTGTGGCTGCCCTATCCTGGCAGTGTTCAAGGACAGATTGTACATGGCTTGGAGTAACTTGGTGTAGTGGAAGGTGTCCTGGCCCGTGGCAGGGGACTGGAAATAAATGAGCTGTAAGGTCCCTTTCAACGAAAACCATTCTATGATTATTCTCAGATTCGTTTCAGTGGGCACCCACAGAAGTGGACAGGATGTGTCACGCAAGGATTTGACCCAGGAAGACTAGTGTCATGGACTACATCAGCATGTGTGCTGCTGCAGCAGCTGTGGTCCCTCAAATACCTCTGTGACACGAGAATGTGAAAAATAGATGTTAGGTACTGTCATTTTGAACCAGAATACTGCTGTGCTGGACATAACTTCTTTAAGTATTTCATGCGTTTTGAATAGAAAATATGTGCATATATATGACACTGTATTTTAATGTCTCAGAGACACTACAAAGGGACCAGAGCAGATATGATATCTTCAAATGCTAGGCAGTGTGAAGAGAACTGGATTTGTTGCAGATAATTCTGCACCTGAGCACAAGCCAGTGCTTATGTATTGACACATGGGCTGTGCAATCCACAATGATAAGTGGTTCAATGGATAATTCAGACTGGAAAGGATGTCAGGAGGTCATCTTGCCCAACGTCCCTCTCAAAGCAGGGTCAGTTAAAAGGTCAGACCAGGTTACTCAGGGCTTTACTCAGTCAAGTCTTAAAAGCTTCAAGGATGAAAGCTGCACAACCTTTCTGGGAAACCTTTTCCTTTGCTAAGCTGTACTCATGATACAAAAGTATCCTTTAATTCATTCTAAACCCCCCTTATTTCAACTTTTTGCCCTGTGTTATCCCACTGAGCAGCACTGTGCAGATCCTCTTCCAACTTGTTGATGATGTCCTTGTAGGTACTGGAGGGTGATCAGGTACCTCCAGGGGAACAATTCATATACTGCACTATTTATAGAATATAATACTTTAAATTCCTTTTCATTCTCTTAATTCAGCAGTCCAAACCAAGAAGTGATGTTTAAGTTTTGTTTAATAAAAGAAAACTATTATAGAGTTGCATGAGTCTGGTAAGATTTGAGATAATTCTAAACAGCACAGTACTATGACACATGAGCACACAGAGCAATGAGGGTTGGCTACTTGACTCGAAAAGCAGAAACTATTAGTACTGACATGGAAGTACAATAACATCGCTATGTTGCTTTTGGCATCTAAGTTAACTTATTGAGGGCTCTCTCTCGAAGTATTGAGCTTTCCTGATCAAAAGCAAGTTCAAGATAAATATATGATTTAGGCCAATCTGTCCTAAATTTTTTCCAGACTCAGAAATGAAAAAATATTTCAATCTAAAGAAATTTTTTTCAATATATCACTACAACTCAAAGAACACTTGTTTCTTGTCATAGTAATAGCAGTAGGAGCGTTACATATTTTATACTACATGCAATTATCAAATAATATAAGCTTATCTTGACCATAAACTGAGGCATTTTATAAAATAAGAAAATCATATCATCCTTCTTGCTTTGGTTGTAAACAACACTTGTTGCTTTTGTAGTTAATAAACTTTGATATACTTTATCCAGTTTTGTGTTCTCCATCCAGATAAAACCAAAGTACCGTTCCACAGAGCTGTGAGTTAATTTCAGTATGTAGAACAGCAGACATATATGGATTTGAATGATTTGCCTAGGATCTTGTAGCAATCAGTGGCAGAGAAGGGGGTTTAAAGTAATATAATTTTGCTACTTCTGAACCTTATACACAAGAAACCTGTTATAGAAAACTAATTACACTAAATTGGATATTCAGTGGCATCATGGCAGTAAACTACTCCAAGGGAAGTATGTTGTTTAGAAGGAAGATGATAACCTCATGCATCAAAACCTAGTATATCAGGATGGAATGAATAATGTAAAAGAGTGAATTATAACATGCTGTCTCACTGAATTGCTGCTGTTGTTATTATTTATACTGTGCCTTCTATGTATATGTTGAATGCAAAGTTTTTGCTACTATATGCAGAATTGTGAGCTAATTCATTTTTACAGTGAGAGAATTTTGGCCACGTCTCAACACCATGTAAGAGGTCGAAGAGAGTAATAGGGCTTATATATCATTTTCTTTCAAAAAACAATATTCAGCAAAAATGGGCCATTACCAAACCATCTTTCAGGAAATCACCCAGGATTCTACCTCAAAATCTTATGTTTTCACTGAAAGTTTTCAGGAACAAAAAAATACTATGTTTATTTTTGTCAAAAACTGGTAGAAAAAAAAAAAAGGTGATGGCAACAAAAGTTGTATTTTCCCTGACAATTTATGTTAAGGAATATTTTGGACTAGCTTTTGTAAGAGAAGTTCCTTTGCAATGTCTATTACATATTCTTGAATATCCATGGGCACTTTCATCTGTGACACCATATCATGGGATGGTTAATTCTGTGATATGAGGAAGATATTTTTGTTGAAAACATTGTTTTCTGTATAGTGAGAGTGTAAGCATCACACTTAAACTGTATGACTGATGAGAAATCAGTCATTACCAGTCAGCTCCTGGGAAGCAATATTCACTATTAAGGGAGATTGTGGATGGTCTTTTGTCTTGGTTAAATCTTCAAAATTTGTTCTAACCTAGCTTAATTTGAAGGCAAACAAGAACTGATAGTAGAGATCACAGAGAAAACAAATCTACATTTAGTTGCATTAGTACACAGCCCATCTGACCCAAAGAGGTTATTGTGGCCAATCCTTTCCACTGCAATCAGGCTCTGGGGAAGGCTGTATAGCCAGTCTGCAGAAGTATATATAGCACTGGGCAGCTCATCAGCAGTTTGTGCACTACTGCTGTTTTCACAAAAACTGAAGGACGAGCCTTCCCCCATGAGCAGTCTCCTGCTCTTCCTCCAAGTTTTACTGACTTCCTTGCAAAGACTTTCAGGTTTTAGTTCCTTGAAGTATGCATGTAAGGCTTAAAGGATGTAATCACAGGAATTCAAGTTCTGGAATAAAAATGAATGATTCTTCTGATTTCAAGGGAATATTGTACAGGAAAGGTAAAAGAGTCATTGCCATCAGCACTGTTGTGCAGTTGCAGACCTAAAATTAAATGTAGGAATTCACTAACATAAGGCTCTTACCTTAAACATTCAGGATCAGTCTGAGGCTTTTTGGTGACTTGGACTTTTTCTGCTTCTAAATCTTTTGTCATTCTTTCAGCGTCCCTGATTTCTTTCTCAAGGTCTAAACATAAATCAACAATTACCTTATAAATATATATTAATCATCCATATTCAAAGACTTCCTACGTTTTCTAAATTTGTCTTTTCTAATATTTCTCTGTGAAATTGTTCGTAGGGAAAAGGCATCTGAATAAAGAATATGAATTACTTAGTTATTCTAATTATTATGCATATTGCAATCTTCTAGAAAAGTTTGTTCCTTTTCTCAAGCAATATAAGACCATACTTTAGGCTTGTCTTTCTTAGTTCTTACTGTGATATGGTATTTACACTTTTGCAAAAAAGTTACAAAACCACTTCCAAGTTACGTTTTTTTTAATCCAAATTTCAAAATCATCCCAAATGCTTGTGACCACCTTTGACATGGAACCTTTCTTACTTCCGTCTGTATCTTTTATCATTTTGCATTTTTATAGGGTTTCCTGTGGCAGGTTCCTCCCAGCTTTGTGTGTGGAATTTTTTTATTCACAGACTTTCATAGCTGAACACACAAATATCAGTAACAAGATCATAGCCGAATTTCCAATTCAGAGATTTAGCACTTAGGCGAAATCTGTTGTTATCTGTCCAAGTAATTTTGCTTGTTAAACATCTGAATTTTAGTGACTTTAATTATAGGTTAATGGGGTTTTAACAATATGTCAATTTTAATCATGGAGTCATAGAATCATAGAATGGTTGGGTAGGAAAAGACATTCAAGATAATCTAGTTCCACCCCCCCTGCTATGGACAAGGACACCTTCCACTAGACCAGGTTGCTCAAAAAAAATTCCTTCCAGCTTTCCTGCAGGCCCCTTTAGGCACTAGAAGCTGCTTTAAGGTCTCCCCAGAACCTTTTTTTTCTCCAGGCTGGAAAATTCCAGCTCTCTCAGCTTGTTTTCATAGGAAAGGTGCTCCGGCCCTCAGAGCATCTTCATGGCCTCCTCTGGACATGCTCCAACAACTCCATGTCCTCCTTAGTTGGGGGCCCATGAGCTGGATGCAGGACTGCAGGGGAGTGTCTCACAAGAGTGGAGTAGAGGGAGAGAATCCCCTCCCTCAACCTTCTGGTCACGCTCCTTCTGATGCAGCCCAGGGCATGGTTGGTTTCTGGGCTGCAAGTACACACTGATGGATCATGTTAAGCTTCTTGTTAACCAACACCCCAAGTCCTTCTCCTCAGGGCTGCTCTCAGTCCATTCTCTACTCAGCCTGCATTTGTGCTTTCCACATTGAAACACTAAATTCTCCATTTAAGTATATAACTTATTAGCAAAAGTAAAAATTTATTTTTCATATTTATAGCTTATGTTTCAGGGCACCTGTAGACTCCAGTCTCACTGATATTTAAAATAAATCTCACTGAAATCCTTATTATAACCATGTTAAAAAGTACGTATTATATATTGTAATCATACATTAACACCTTGTTTCTATGATTTCTTTTTCTTGAGAAAAATAACTTCAGGAGGTTTTTCAGAAGCATTTCTCAAGCCATATGTAATTGTTATAACAAGCGATTATCATGCACACCTTTAAGTTTATTTTGGAGATTAAGTAAGTCCTGCTTTAACTCATTCTTCTGCAGTTGAAGTGCATTTAATTGAACATTTTGTTGTTCCATTGACTCCATTTCTAAAAAAAAATAATATATTTTAGGTTAAAATGCATTGCAGTTTTAGTCTTCATGGTATAATCTTAAATATTGTTAACAACTTGTACCAATCTTCATCTAGTCAAAAAGAATCTTAAATATGAAATTTAAATCAACTAAAATCAGTCATATAAATTCCAGTTCACAGGAAATTATGTCATATGATATGCCCATAACTGTGAAAGAAAATGTTTTATTTTATTAAGATGTTTTACATATTTTGTTGACAGGCTATAAAAAGAATGTTTTCATTTAGAGTAACTTCAGATATAAAGGGTGATGACTTATAGGTGGTGAACCTACCAGCAGGACTAAAGAAAAGCCTGTGTTTGTTTAGTGTTATGGACATTTTAACCTGAGCATTGACAGCATCTGGAATTAATTGTGATAGTTTTCCTGACAGCTGGAGGTCCTCATGGAATTTCCTTGCTATGAGTTTCTTAATTATTTTCTTTTAGTGTTGTCAGTGTGCTCAGGACTGTAGCAGACAGAAAGACAGACAAGTTGTACCTCAAAAAAAGTGCAATTTAAAAGGATGGAATCAAGACAGTACCAGAGCCTAGAGGAGAATGTTAGTCACCTTTCATGTTCTACTGATCAGATCTGCCTGAATATGTAAAAATTAATCATTGAAAGTAACAGGTGCCAACAAATATGGGATATTTTCAGTTGTAGATCAGAATCAGAGCATCAGGAAAGAAGTTACCATGAAGTACAAACTCAAATAGTCATATTTCAGTAGCTTTACATCAGATATCGGGAATTCAAAGTGCTGGTCTTTGATAAATCATAGAATCATGAGATGGGAAATGACTTTGAGGGGTCATTTACTGCATTTCTCCTTCTGAAGACAGCACCAGCTCTACCTCTGTCACTTGTGACAGATGCTTGTCTAAGCTGTTTTTAAAGACTTTTGGTAATGGAGACTCCTAATTCCTTTGGCAATGGAATCTCCTAAGGCAGAATGCTTCAGTTGTTCATTGTTCTTAGAGAGACTTCTAAATAGCCAGCCAGACCCCCCCTTATTGTGGTTTACACTTGTTACTTCTTATTCAGTTCACTATAGGCATGGTGAATGTATTAATTTATTTTTTACAGGATCCTTTAATGATTTGAAGACCGATATCCATCTTCTGACAGCCTTTTCCTTCATAGGTTAAATGATCCCGATTCTTTATTTTCTGTTTTTAAAATTTTAATATTCTCCAGACCTCTGATGACTCTCACTGGTCCCATGTAGATTCTCTCCAGATAGTCCACATTTTTTCTTGAAGTGTTAACATCCAAAACTAGAGGCACAGTACTCCAGCTAAGAGCTTAACTGCCCTAAATAGACTGATGGATTATTTTGCATGTTTTAAAGGTCAGAATTATGTTTATGTCTCAGTGTGGTGTTGGCATTCTCATGTCATTGGCTCATGTTCAGCTCGTGGTCCATGATGACTCCTATTTCCTTGCTGAAGGATTGCTTTTCAGTCTGAGTCTCTGTTCTGAGAAATCTCTCAAAGATAAAGTTATACTGTGGCAATAAAAGACCACTCCTGCAAGACACCTGTACACAAAATTCTTTTGAAATTAAGGAAATTACATAACTGGTGATTATATCGGTTATTATAATCAGTGCAAACCCAATACAGTATTTTATGTGTGACAATGCACCTCTGTGCTGGTCAACATCAGGCACTGGGAGCCACTCCTGCAGGTCTGCTGCTTCTCATAGTGGTTGTAGTCAGAAAGGACCGAAGAGGATAGGGAACAGAAGAGGCTTTAATTATGCTTGTGCAATGTGGTATGCCAGACCACACTCTTTCAGTGTAGTGCTAAAAGGAAGTCCCAGACAGCAAGGAAATTGATTTAAAATTATTGTTTTGCAGAGCTGTATTTTACTGGCTTGTATTAATTCTCTGGTAAACCAAGATAAATAGTTTAATACAAAACTTACCATTTTTCAACAGAGCTGCCTCATTCTCCAAATCATTTATTTCAGCCTTGAATTTTTTTCTAATCATAAGATCCCTATTACTTGTTAGTCCATACTCATTGTTAAACTCTGTTACTTCTCTAGTAAAATTATCTTCCTCTTCAGTCATTTTTCTCTTTGCATCTGTCTGAAAAAAAAAAAAAGGGAAAAACTTGAATGTTCAGGTGAAAGTCTTTGTTAAGCTAGACAGACTGAAACATGCTGGTGTTTATCAAACATGTACTACAAATGTAGTATATTTACTTTTCCTGACTTATGAGAATGTGAAAATGATCTACAGCTCCATAATTTTGTCTGTTTTCTCCTTTTTTTTTTCCTCTGAAAAAGTGAAGGATGTATTCTTAATAATAAAACGTTTAAAAAAATCACTGCATTACATTACAAACCTGTGCCATCAGTTTTCCAGTTAAACCCCTTATTGAAATTAGTAGAAAGTTCTGTTTAAAGTCTGTAGCATACTATGGCTACTCTGTTTTTTTTTAGATTGTTATTAAATGAAATAAAAGTGTTGTATATTCCTCTGCAGAATGCGGACTTACTTTACCTCCCTCAGTAACTACCAAAAAAGACATAGTTGATAGGAAGTTACTGTTTCATTTTCTGGAAAAAAGTATTCTAAAGAGAAAGACATTACTATATTCCTTTCAAAAAAATCTTAACTGATTGTTAAATTAAATAAAATGAAATTACTCTCATAAACAGGAAGACATTATAACCTATATATCAAACTTGACTAGTTACAGTTAAAAGAAACCACACTTCTTCAAAGTATATTTCGTTTTTATAGCTAAGTAATTTTTCTATGATATTTATAGTATTTATTCTTTCTTTGTATACTTCAGATTGAGAATACTTTGGATCCTGAAGAACTGGTGATTTATATTGAATGTTTAAGATTCAGCTCTGCTTATTTGGTACAAATACATATGTGCAGACGACTACTCATCTGTGGCTTTCCTTAACATCTACATATCAAAGGACCCTCAATGTACTAAGAGGAAGACAATATCCAGGTTAGCACAAAAAAGAACTGAAAAGCTTGTTTTCTGTATATATCTCTATAAGCTACCTATTCAGAGGTGGCTAGGTGTGTCCAGCATCAAAGAGGTTGTGTGGCATGCCAGGATTTCTGAAATGTGGAGCTGGCCTCACTGATTTTTGACTTAGATCCTTCTCAATATGTTTTATTGTGGATGATGCAGTCCCATTTAGGTGAGACTTTCCTAGTTTTCTTTTACAAAGGAAATAATGCATCCAAATTGGAGATCAATCACACAACAGCAGACATTAAGAAATGAAGTCAAGAATGCTAAATCAGCTTTGCAGATGCAGCATACATTACCTTAGACCATGGTTTAAATTAATAGTGAGAATTTATCTACGTTTACATTAAGTATGGTAGAGTAAAAAAAAAAAAATTTCCATATTTAAAACATTACTTCTTCCATATTTTTAAATTTGAAAGCTGGCTATTCTTATACAGTAGAGAAGAACTGTTTGAATACCATAGCTGAAAACATACAAAGATTTTAAGAAGACTGCTCTTTTGATTAATAAGTTCAGCTTTCTGCTTTTCTAAGCTCTCTTCACGTTTCTTCAGAATTTCTAAGCAGAACTCCTTTTCAGACAGATGCTGAACCTTCCAAGAGGAAAGACAAACAATTAAAAAAGGTTATAAAGTAAGGTCATTGTTTTACTATTTCATATACTTTGATACTGTACGTAAGGTTCTTGGTCCTGTTAAAACACAGCTTGCATAGCTGCTGGACTAAGCACAAGCATAACAGCTCTTTTTCCCTCCAGTAATCTTCCAATATACAACTAAGCCTTTGAAAAGACACATTTAATCCTGGTCCATCTATTAAAGTAATTCTGTTCAGTTTAGGAGATTTTGGTTTTCAGGTTAAAACTAGGAAACATATTGATCATATGGGATCTGGTACCTAACACGATAAGATGTCCTACATCTAATTGTGTAAAGCTCATTACATACCAAATCAGACAATAATATCAGAGGGACAGGGTTCCAACATTATTGTTTTTACTGAACAGCTGTAGACATCATCAGCTCTGCAATGCTGCTACTACTGTATACATGAAGGAGGGAGGGATATGCTTACAGCTTTCTGAGCACAATTTCTGGAATTCTTAGCCAAAGACATGGAATGGCAATTAGCTCATTGGTTCAAGACAGTTTAACCATAAAATCCCCAAGCCCCAAATGTCTATTTTGAATATAGTTTTATTTTTATTTTATTCATTTTAAACAGCAGTTTATCTGATAGAATGGTATGCTGTTCCACCATTTCATTTTCAAAATTTGCTACAGAGTTCCTGTCAATTTTCCAGTGAATTTACTGTATCATTGTCTAACCTAAGTTAAGATATATGGTGGGATAAACTATAACAGCAGAAAAATAGGGAACATCTAGGTGCTGAAGAGTCTTACAGGATGAGAATCATTCACCTGATGAAGTGGAGAAAAGGAGGTCAAGAGAATGACTCAGACTGGAATACTCAGAACAATGGGGAGGGAAAGTAAAGTTAGGAGAATTGCCCACAGACTGTAAAGGCCCAGGGTAAGCATCAGGAAGTAAATTGAATAGTCAGGCTGATACGTGACTGTGTGCAGAAGCAAAAAAAGACCAAATAATAGTGATATTACAGAGGCAAAAATGAAAATATTGTAAAATGAAATAATGTAGATTAATTTAGAGAGGGTGCAGATGACAAGCATCTGATCAAAAAAGGAGGATAGTGAAATCAAATGCCATAAGACTAGAATATGAGAGTTACAAAGGAAAGGACCCGTTTTTTCCCTTATCCCTGATATGTCCAGCATGTTAAGTGCCCAGAAAGTGCTTGCCTCATGAATATTTATTTTATATATTAATTCAAAGAGAGTAGAGGATCTTTTACCACTGTATTTATATTATTGAGCATAATGAGCTGCGGTGTAATTTCTCCATCTGTAAGATGCCAACTTAATCTATGCATTTGCAACTGTTTTTTTTTAAGAAATCATTGAGCCATGAAAAGCAAAATGCTATAATTCAGGTTCTAATTACATGCTACCTGATTGTACAGAACAGAGGAAAAAATAGCATTTCCTAAGACTCTTTGATTGACCACAGGCAGTCTCTGTGAAATAGATGTCAAAACACTTTTGAACTCAGCCTCAGCTGCTTGGTCAGGCATAAGCTGTTGTGCATGCACGTGCTTGGATGTGTAGGCTTATAAAGAAGTGTAGTTATTTGGACAAAATGAGCAGCATTAGCTGAACAACATTATTTAATATTGTTTGAATCACATTTATTATTGTAGACATATGTAAACTTAATTCCTGTGCTGAAAAATATATTACTTTAAATAATTTTAATAACTATACGATCTTCAAACCTAAATACTGTCTGATCAAAACGCATTTCTTGATTCCACTTGTTTTTTGTATCATTTCTCATTTATATATGAATCAATGTTTGACTAAGAAAGCAAGGAAAAATAGTTTTGTGCACATTAGTAAGAATGTTATTAATCCTGGGGGGTAAAGCACATAAGGTTTAATTAGGAATAGTTCTTCAGCTCTTCCCATTAGTTGTTTACAGTAATGTCTCTACTCTTGGGCCCTTCTGTACCTAGCACATAAACCTTGATATAAATCACAATGCATCAATAACAAATTAATAGTATAAACAGAATTGTGATGTTAATAAATAAACATATGAGGAAGACTTCAAAGGACTTAACCACTTAACCTTACAATTCACACCCAGATAAAATCTGTCAGTTAAGATACTATTTTAAAGCACTTTTGGGTTCTGAGATTGTGACATCCATAAATGCAAGCCCGTGAAGAGCTGCTTGCATGATTATAGTCTGAATTTGCAACCAGTACATATTTGTAAATGAGTTCTCTTTTATTCCTATCCCCTTCCTGTAATGTTGATATTTATTATACATATTACACAGACTTTTACAGAAAGCAGAAGAGCCTGGTTTTGGAAGGATGAAAACCATCCCCCAAACATCTATCTTCACAACTAGGTGAGGCAATCCCCAAAGGTTCTTGAAGATGTTTACTTAAGTGATAGAATATAACAGTTCTGACTTCAAAGGAGGCTCCATATGCTTTCCTATTGTGCATATACAGTCTGCTAGCTTACACACTTAAGAGCAAAGGAATGATATTTAGTCCCTGCTCATGTCAGGGAGGGTGTGAACTGGATGATCTTAAGGTCCTTTACGACCCTAACTGTCCTATGATTCTATGATTCATTTTCAGCGATAAATAAATGGATTTTCATTTTTTTTTAAATCTGAAAATATGTCTTCAGTTTGGTTAAATGAAAAGCACAATAAACTCTTAAAAACACTAAACAGATTCAGAACCTTTCCTCTGTCTTTGTTGTCCTTAGAAAAACTCTTACACCTTGTAAGCCCTAACTGTGAGCCTAGGCTCACAGGAAGATCTTTAGTATGTGTCTCAAGATCCTGTCAAGTAAACACAGGTAATGCTTCCATATATTTTCTACGAAAGGCCTTTATTGAATGGCAATGGGCAGCAAAGGAATGGTTTCTGGGCCTCTAAAGGAAAGTGCTTTAACAAGCTCCAGGATGGTTAATACAGAACCTGGGATGTCTGATGGCTGTGTCTTGTGAACAGACTGACCTGGCACGGTGGTCTGCTCCCTGCCAAGCTCTGTCTGCAGGGCACCAGTGACTGCCACATGCACAAGTGCTGTTTCCAGTGCTTCCAGATTATGGACGTGTTACCTGGAAAAGTTCCTGTCCCTGAGGTGAATGAGTCCCTGACCGCAGCCAGGAGCCAGCCTGAGGGGAGATGCTGACAGACCATTTTTCACTACAGAAATGCGCAGTGTAAGTTTTCTCTGTGCTGTGGTATTCGATAGGTGAAGCGTATTCCTTGAAATTGTTTATGAATCTATTCCTGAAAGAATAGGTCATATATTTGTAGATATAATGTATTTCATTATTATGTATACTATAAACATGCCCGCTCACCTTAGTTTCCAGTTTCATTTTTGCAGTGCTCAGCTCTTCTTTTATTTGGTTAATTTTTTCATAGCTTCTGTTTATGTTGAATTTAGCTGGAACACAACAAAAAGCCCATAAGAATGTGTGCTCAGTTTGTAAGTTAGTGGGGGTGGAAACTAGACGATTTTAAGGTCCTTTTCAGCCCAAACCAGTCTACGATTTTAAGTCACATTCTTATAAAAACATGCTATTGGCAATAAGCAGGCAGCCCAGGTGCCAGCCAGCTTTCACTGATCCCCTCATGACCGTGGGTCTACCCTGCTTTTCCCTAGGGAAATGGAGAAGCCATTAAGTGTGGTCAGTGTCATCGCCACAGGATGGCGGCCATGGGGCAGACCTTGTTGGATGAATTGTCTTTTCTCCCTCGCCTGCTTCTCTGTGAACTGTATTTGCTGGAACAAGGCATCCAGGTTCATTTCTGTCTTCTTGTGGAGCCTGTGGGCTCCGTGGGTCTTGTCTTTGCTGAGGGCTGGTTGGTTAAAGCTGGGGTGAGCTGGAGGGAGGTGAGGCTGGGCCTGGATGCAGCCCTTCCCTCAGGGCTCTGTGCTGAGCCAGGCCTAGGCTCTGCTCTTGGCTCTGCCTCCATGGGGTTGGGAAAGAAACCCCAGACCACGGAGGGAAGTGACCACGGTAGATGGGATACGGCTGCTGAGGAGGAGGTGACAGTGTGGGACGTTTGGGCTGCAGAAAGTAAGGGGACAAGAGTGAACCTCAGGCAGAGGGAAATATGGATGACAGGCTGGGGGAATGCAGGAGATGGAAACGAGCATGCAGAGAAGCAGCACGGTAGGAGCACAAGAAGGCATATATTTGGCTAGGCAAAAGGCAGCTGACACTCTGAATCTTGTCAAACTTATGCATGTTTGTGGAACATTGGTTCTGACTCAGAGTCTGGGGAGTTCTGACTTTATTTCTCTGGGACGCATGTTTTATACCCCTTTTGTGTTGTTCAGAAGCTGGGGTTTTACACCTTCCTTTTTCTATGGAGTGATCACCATCCTTCTTAAATATTATATCTGGTCAGATTTGTTCATCTTTTGAAGACTGATCTCTATGCTTAGCAGTTAAAGAAGTGGGGTAAGATCAGCTATTATACAGAACAAGACAGCAAAGCTAACTACACAAAACTTAACTAACCATGGTCAGATCAACTCAGCCGCATTTCACCATTAATGTAAAATGACAGCGTTTGTGTTCCAGTTGGTCTAAGTAAGCAAAGATCATAACGTAGCCCATTGTATGCTCTCCTGCAACACACTTGTCTTGAGTTTACTATGCTTTGAGCAGCTTTCTGGTTTGTACACTGTAAATGTAAATACCCAATTGAAAATGTAATTCATATTACAGGGCTCGTTCCTACATCTTGAGAGGATTAACATTCTGTACAGGGAATATCTATGTGAAGTTTGCCTATCAGCTTTGAGGCAGAAAAAGCCTGCAGGAGTGGAACTTCATAGCTTTCCAGCCTTTTTAACATTGAAAAAGATCAGGATTATTGGCAGTCCTGTCTTGCTAAAGAGTTGTCCTCAGAGGAGATACTGTCTTAGAACAGACTGCAGCAGCAAAGTTCAGAAATTAGAAAATCTTTGTAAAACGCAAAAAAATATACATGAGAGTACCGATGTCTTACTAGTGAAAAAACTGTTCTAAGTTAGCAGAATGAAACTGAGAATTCTGGAAATATGTTATGTTATACAATTTACAGCTTTAAAAGCACCACGTTATAGCTGATAGTGTGTTATCAAATGGTGCTTTTTAAAGAAAAGACATTGCTGTCTCTAAGAAAGATAATTTGATGAAATTTAAACCCCTGAAACTAGCACATTATGTTGCAGGAAATGCAATTATTTTTTAAAATGGAACAAAGAGCAACCGAGGGAGAAAAGTTCACAAAAGTGAATTTCGAAAATGTTTCAGAAGTGAAGCTTCCTATCCAAAGGCCAAAGGAATAGCGGATGAATCAAACAGGAACAAGATTGAGACAGTGATTTGTTACACAGGTCTGATGAGTGAAAAAGTCATTTTACAAAATTCAAGAAAATGAACTGCTCTATCAGTGGATCAAGGAGAAAATAAAATGAAAAGCTGTCTTTGAAGTTTTTGAGACTTGACTACTTTTGTGTTTCGAACTGAGAAAGCTGCTGTAGGCTGGGATGGTGTTCAGTGTCACTTATTAAAGAAACGACTGTGTTTTGTGGAGGATGCCTCTAATTATGTCAAAGGGACTGTTCTCCCTAGAAAGAGGAGTCTGGCTCCAACTATACTTCTCACTGTCTGAGAATGACCATTCAGCGCAATTAACAGTTAGCTCTGTAAAAGATTCCTTCAGAGACTGAAAAAATTCAAAGTGGAACAAGTATTTGACATTAAGTTTCATAGCTTTTGATTCCTGCAGCTATTTGACACATTCTTGAGTTTTACAGGGGAAATTAACTCACTATAATAACTCAGGGTTGTATGAAGTGAAATGTATACAAGTGCCTTCAGAATCAGGATCATTACTTCAAAAGTGTGTATTTACCTGGATTTCATGGAAACGGACAAGATCATATGAGCCTAAATGTTTCAGAATAAAAGAAAATGTGTATTACCTTTGCTCAACTCCGACATTTGGAAGTAAAAGATTTTTTGTAAATCATTAGGTATTAGAAAGGTGACTTTAATTTTATTCTGTTGGTCATATCAGTACATCCTAATCTTAATCTATATCTATATCTTAATCACTGTGCTGTAATCAGGTCATGTCTCTCTAGTGTACTTCAAAATTAGTAATTGCCCTTTGTAATCAGGCTGCTGTGCTGGTAGTGAAGTTTCTTCTATAAGTTTATTCTCTAGTTTGTGTAGGAAGAAGAAAAGCAAGATTTTGTTTGCAATTTCAAGTCACTATAAAAATATTTATTAGTGTAATTTATCTCAAAATCATATACAGTCAGATCATTTCAAAAATTGTTTTTCTGAAAGCTAACAATCAAAAAGGCACGGGTAAAGAAGTGGTGGGATAAAAATTATACGATGCAATATGGTCTTCACTGGAAAAATATATAGTAGAAACTAGAAATTATAGGATTATAGCTACACATAGATTTCCATTTTTGTGTTTAAGCACTGTATTATATTTTCCATATACAAATTAAACTGCCTCTTTTTGAAGCATTGTATTCATAGCAAACCTTCCCAAACTACGCCTCTTTGGTCTTTCTTTGCTCTTGGTGGTCTTTGTATTTGCCGTCTATTTTTGCACTAACTTTTTTCTACCTTACATGAAGGAATAAAGTCAAATTATTCTGTGGTGTAAATTCACAGCTATCACTTTGTGTTTAATGCTGAAGTCTGAGCTAAACTTTACTGGGAAATAGTATCTATATGTGTGTGTGTATGTACGGGTGTTTGTGTGTGTGTATATACGTATATGCATATAAGAGTGAGCACTAATGACTTGGAATGCAGTGTTGAGCAGGAATGCTGATGGAGAGAGACTAAAAATAGTGAGAAGCCCAGTAATAATTTGGCATAAGCAGGCATAAAAATGGTAGCTGTATGCAAAATTAATTTTGTAATGTAGCTTTTAAAATCAAAGCTTTAGCTCTGTTATTTAAAACATCATTGTTAAAATACAGCAAGCAGGGTGGTAGTATGTCATAGAGTTGTTTTAATGCAAATCAAGAACATTTCATGTGGCTGTTCTACCGCTCCCGCTAGCCACCCATTGCTTTACAGGGAAAGATGGAGCTGTTCCGTCTTCCATTGTCTGTCTCATGCCTGGACTGGGAGGGTATGGGGGAGGACAGGAACAGCAGAACAAACGCTTTGTGGTCTCTGCTTAAATATACTTGATTTCCCAATATTAAAAGAAAAGAAAAAAGGAATGAAAAAAAACTCAACTACTTCTGAAAACCTAGAGTTGGATAGCAGAGAGGAGGAATATTAATGCAGTAATAACCTATAACTTATGATCTATTTGTAATTTCCTGAGAAACTCAGGTTAAACACAGTCTAGTTATCATCTCTGGAAGAGTGAGAGCAAATTGCTAACCCACAGGCTGGAAGTTCTTCATTTCTTGTAGACTGCTCAGCAAGGGACTCATGAATGGACACCTTGCTTCCTCCTTGTAACAGGGGTGAAATAAACTTCAAAAATTCATGTAGTAAAATATAAAAGAATGGAAAATGTGGAAATAAGTCTCTGGCAAATTGCAAGCAAATGATTCTCTGTGCCCCAAATCCCTATTTCTTTTTTTTTTCAAGTGACAAAACTGAGTTAATGAAAAGCTGTGTATGTTTATAATGTATTAAAAAACACTAAAAAGTAACTTCATACTCCCCCCTAACATGTCTGGCTTCTGGCTGCAACGGAGAATTAGCTATACTCTTTTCCACTTTGGTAGGAATGTAAACAACTTCATAACAGATGTTCTTTATAAAGATAGAGCCTGCTATTTCCATTGTGATATCTGCATTTGAGTCTTACATCCAAGATTTTGTTTATTTCCATCTGGAAAGGCTTCATTGGATCCCTTTGGGTTACAAAGCAAAGATTACTCTTTTATGGTTTTAAATCTTAGTCTTCTATTGTCTTTGGTTAAAATAACACAACAGCTGCTTTCTTTGCTGATCAGTAACTGTGCTGTTATATAGGTATCCACATTGTTCCACTGTCTTAAATATATTTCAGTTGTGTCCTTTACTGGATCTATGAGTTTATCCTAAAACTTTTTACTCTGCTGTTCTTTAGTATTTGGATAAGCAACAACTAAGCCTCTCATTTTGAAACATTTATCAGACCTCTTATTTATCTTGGCATTAACAGTAGTAACTTGTCTAATGGAGAAAGAATTTTTCAGATCTGGAGTGCATATCACAGTACAAAACACTGTCTTGGCTTTGCACTCTCATAGTAAATTTTCTTAATTATTTGGCTGGAACACTGCAGTTTGCTTTACATGCTGTTATCACTAAGTTGGCACTCACTGAAAGCTACAACAGAAACAGTGAAAAAATACTTTTTAGATTTTAATTGTTTATCTCTTCCACTTACAAAGGTGTTGGGTTTTTTAATTTTGTATTAGCAGAAATGAAAACGAATTACCCATTACGTTGCGATGTCTTGTAAGAAGACGGTTGCCATTAAATCTCGGGAATAAAGGGCTGTTAAGGAAATATTTTGAGAACTAGGACTTTCATGCAGGAGATGTAATCTTGGATTGAAACTTATTAAACAATCTGTTGAAAATACTTCAGTTTAATCAATGAACTATGGTATGTTTCCTATAACCATATAATGTCAGTATGCTAGCTTATCTCTTTTGACATAAAATTCATCTTAATCATAGAAAAATCTTAATAGACACTGAAACATAGAAAGCAATAACTTTACAGTTCATAAAAGTAAAATATTTCAGGATATTTTTAAATGTTTATGTCTGTTCTTTAAGCTCTATTTCTACCTCATGCTGCGATTGTAGGGAAAAGAATGTGTGTAGATGACTGAAATGAAACTGCTTTATTGTCTTTATTCACAACAGGAGCTTTATTTAGTGCTATGTTTTATAACTGTTACACTTTAGCTGTATGTATTAAAGCCCAATGAGTTTCTCTGCATGCTGAAAATAACTGCCATGTGAAATCAAGAGTTATACTTTTAGGTATCTCTGATAATACTTTTCATAACATTAATTTTACGGTTCCATCAATTTTCCTGCTTCAAAATATGGCATTTCCTTAGACATTTGAAGGACTTGGACATACGCCCACAGCCTGAATTAGGCAGCAGTAGAAATTATTCCACATTGCATGTAAGTGCCCAATCCAAGGAAGTATTGCCTTTTTAAGGAAGGGCTATCTCAGTTTAACTAAAACATATATCCTCAATCTGAAAAGCTGCTTTTAACACAACTACTGAAACTTCAAAGTCTCATAAAACTTCTCACCAAATTTGAGCCAGATGGTATTTTTCAGTGACAAATTGTTTTGTAAGAAAGTTCCCAAGTCTCATTATTTATTCAGAATAAAAGCTGTTGTGCCTACTCCTCCAAAATAATCTGAACAGTTTTCAGAATAACTCACTTCCTCCAGAATATTGTGCAAAAGGTATGTTCTATCTTCAGGTTTTAAAAGCTGCTTTGTAAAAACCAGTCTAATAAATGGATCTCTATAAAACTGTGCTCTGTGTTTTCTGCACAGCTCCTAGTGGGCAGAGGAAAGTAAAAATGAAGATTTAACAATGATAAATAACACTATATAAACATAAATGCCTATTGATAGAGATGTTATGCTGTAATTTCATCTTTTTAAAAGATGATATAAAAAAAAAAGAGGGAACCTATACCTGTGCTTCTATCCCTTCTATATTCCTTCCCACTGATGCTTCTGGGAGATTAGCTATCTCTAATCCTGAAATTTTCAAAGGCTTCATGGCACACATCTGCATACATATGCCAAGACTCGGCGCATAGGCAAGATAATAAAAGCATTAAATTCAAGTAGAGTAGAAAATCACAGCTGTGGTAAGCATGTATTATCAATTGTGCCACATTCATAAATTAATAATTTGCACTGTATTACAGTGACTTCTTTTCAGAAGAATTAAACATGCCTATTCACAGATTGTGTGAAAAGCATGTAAATAATTCTTGTGGGTTCCTCTTTTTACAGCCTGTCTTTTTACAAAGAAGATTACAGAAGGAAAGTGGATTAGAATAAATAGCAGAAATTCTGCTTCCTCTAAAATAATTACATTTCTTCTATTTTGAGAACGAAATCAGAATATTTAAAATATCCTTGGTAAGTCAGTTCCTTGAATACAAAATTAATATCCATAGTTGAGGCTGCAGAGTTTATAAAAGAGAATAACACAGTATTTGTATGTGTGTGTTGTGGTTTAAACAAAGCCAGCCATAAATCACACAGTCGCTCTCTCATTTCCTCCCCTTTTTGGCCTCCCCCTGCTCCTGGAGGGATGGGAAGGAGAATCAAAAGAATGCAACTCCCACGGGCTGAGATAAGAGCAGTCCACTAAGGTATAACACAAATCACTGCTGCTACCACCAATAATAATAATGATAAGAGAAATAACAAGGGAAGAGAATGCAACAACTCACGACCTGCCGAATAATAACTCGCCCCCACCCCACCCGACCAAGCACCGACCGATACCTAGTCCAACCCTGCAGTGCCCCAGCCCTTCCGGGTAACTCTCAGTTACATCCTAGGCATGACGTGCTGTGGTATGGAATACTTCTTTGGTCAGTTTGGGTCAGGTGTCCTGTCTCTGCTTCCTCCCGGCTTCCCTTCCTCCTTGGCACAGCATGAGTCTCAGAAAGTCTTTGGCCAGACTAAAACATCGGTGTTATCAGCTCTGTTCCCAGGCCAGAAGCTGCACCAGCGCTGCACCAGCTACTAAGAAGGAGAAAAATGACTGCTACTGCTGAACCCAGGATGGTGTGTTCACATAATTTTTGGCCTGCTACTTTTTCTATTTTAGAAGAAATCATATCATAACTATGCTGCTCTTGATGACATTTTAACCCTCTTCCATTGCAACAAGAAATAAGGATATCTTATTTATAATTTAGAAATAATTGTTGTTATATCTGTTAGATCTTCCAGCACTGTAAAAAAACAAAAAGACAGAAAGACAAAAGAGGAAAGTTCTTTAATCAAAGGACTTAATGAAGAGCCTGATGCACACACATATTTATATCTGTACTCTTAAATTTATAGGAATGATGCAGTAGGAAATGCTGAGTAGATGACATGAGAATCATAGGCATGGAGGGCTGAAAAGCATAGCAGGGGATTGTCTGGTTTAACTCTACATTTAGGACAGGAAAAGCGTACTGGTGGCTGCTTAACTCATTGGGATAGGGAACTGCATCATGGGCAGAACTCTTCAGGAAGTCCTGGCAGATTGGTGCTCTGCCAAGCTCTCCCTGTCCTATGTTTATAATCTAACACACCCAATTCCCCCACCCTTTCTGCATCAGTCATATTTTCTTAACCTCTTTTCCTTTGTTGTTTTGGTTTTTTTTTCCCCCGTATTCTCCATCTTTCGTGTTCTTAGATTCATTCCTGCTGGACAGCTTCTTAGCCAGACATTCCTTATCCTGCATGTGTGCATTAGATTTATTGTCATTAAAATGTACCATGCTGCTCTTGCGCTTAGTGAATATTCCACACAATCTTTCCCATTTGCCACAGTATTCTGAATTCTGATTCTTCCAAAACTCTCTCTTCCCTTTCTCCAATCTCTGTCCCCTCCTCAAAACTACACATTGAGTTGCGCACATTTTGTAAGTACTCTCTATTCCATCTTCCAGGATGTTAAAAACACTGAATAGAACTACTTATTGTGATGACATGGAGAGGTTAAACAATACCCATTTCGAGGGCACTGAATAAAAACACAAATGCAAATGCTTATTTGCAACGATATTATGTGTATCAGTTCAATTCAGGGCTAGCTCAATACAACTAAAGAATAATGAAGATATTCCTTTTATTCATAAAAGGGAAAAGAGGTGGTCAAATCAAATGTAGGCATAGCAGTTTGACCTCAACAATAAGCAAGGTCTTAGAGTAGATTTTGAAGGTAAAACTTATCAAGGACCTGGAGGTAAATGGAAAGTGGGAAAAAAACCAACATGATTTTATCAAGGGTAGATCATATCAGGCTAACTTAATATCTTTCTTTGATAAGATAATTGTCCCAGAGAGGAGTAATGCAGAAGGCTTAATCTACCTTTATCAAAATAAGGCATTATAGTGTTCCCTGTGGGAAGTTATTTAAGGTGGAGAAGGTGGGATTTAATGAAAGATTTGTAATGTTGAAAAGGAACTGAGTAAAAGGTTATATTAAAGAGGGTTCTGTTAAAAATAGAAATACCAAAATGAAAGGACTTCGCTAATAAAATTTCTCTAGGACTTATCTTGACACTGATTTCAGTAGTATTGTTGAACTTGGTTAAAGTAGGAAACTGCCTATGGTATTAAGAAGAGATGGCGCAAAACTGGAATATGACTAGCATATCAGAAAAGAAATAAATGACCCTATGGACTGACAAAATGGAAACCTAATAGTATGGAAAGTGGAGGTGGGTGCTTTGGGATTAATATCACGTTCTTTTAGTATAAGCTGTGTCTTGATACTTGCTGGCGATAGTAAGGGGAAGAGGTTTAGTGCATTAGTCGGCTGTACAGTGACCACGAGCCATCATAATGTCATGGCTAGGAAGCGGTTTCAGGGAATATTAGCTGAAGGATTTTCAGTGAAGATGATAAAGTGTTAACATTGCTTTAGAAGGCATTGGTAAGACAACTCTCAGAATGTTGTTTACAGTTCTCATGACCCACATTGATTCGCAGCAGGTGCAGAGTGGGATGGTTAGGGGAAAGGAGTACCTATTTTCTCAGCTGAGATGAAAATAGCTTCTCTGGCAAAACAAAGCTTGAAAGGGCATATGGCTATATCTTTATAAGTATGTGTGGGGGTAGGTGTGAGAGAAGACGACTTGTATGCTAAAGGATAACACTATTTCAAGTTCGGATACTTACAAACAACTATGAATAAATAAGAAATTTAAAAGAAGGTTCTTGGCAATTTTTGCAAAGCTCTGGAACTGCTTTCCAGACAAGGTTATGGAGGTGGGGACCTGAACTACTTCCAGATGGAAATTTATAAATTAATGAAAGGATATGTGTGACATGGTGAAGCGATCTTGGGTCAGAATATAAAGTCTGTGATTTAAAGCGCTGGATACTCACTGACATTGCCAGACAAATTTAATGGGAAACTTGTTTGTGTACTTTTCTTACACAATCCCTAAACAGAAATGTTTTTAACTGGTCCACATGCCAGTTCTTCCAGTCTTCTGCATATACTTTTATGTTCCTTCTTGGTGTATATTATAGGAGAAGGGGGCTGCCCTTTCCTAAATGATAAGATTGGCAGCAGGTAAAACCGGGGCAGTTTGTTAGGATGTCAGGTGTTAATTGGATTGAACTTGTTTACATAGTCAAGGTTAAATTGATCACCTGATTGGAATCAGGAAGTAATTTTTCTCCAAGTTATATTGGCTGGAGCTATGGAGGATGTTTTTCTCTCTGCTTAACCTAACTGCTTGGAACGGGATGTAAGTTTTACCCTATGAAATAGCTGCTTTTGCAGGCTGGTCAAGAACTCTCATGACTTTAGTATCTTCTACTGTTCTCTGACACATCGATGTTTTTCAGCCTTTTACTCTCCTGAGGTACAAGGGGGTGACTGTAACATAAGACATGATTACAGTATGCTACAAGACCTGTGTTGCTTTTTCAGATCATTCAAGAGTTTCCTCTGAACAAGAAAATTTTACTTTTTTGAGGTAGCATGGAGCTGAATACGAGGCAGTCAAGGATACTTCATATGTATTGGTAAGTTTTGAAAAAGGAAAGGTTGACCAGTTTTGTGGACTAGATATTCCTGAGACTTTATAGCAGAAAACATCCTTTAATGATGACTCTAGATCAAAGAATTTTAAAAGCTATTTAGAGGACACCATAATTTCTTAACTGGGATTCTAAGGGCTTTTTAGCTTGGGTATTACACTAACACATAGATGCCTTATTACTAGATAACTGAGGCTTTTCAGACTTTATAAAATCCATTTTATAGCAACTACAGACACATTATTTTCCTTCCTCATTTGGTTTCTTGACCGCTAATACTTGAAAAGAAATACTTGAAAAGTTATAGTGCTTTATCTCATTAAATGTGTAAGTAGTCTATGGCAATTAGGCTCCTAACTCACCTGTCATAGTTAAGTGGATACAATTAGTTAGGTGTATGCGTGCTGTATTGATAATGCTTAGATCTAAAGACTGCTTTTTACACAAATACAGATACTCAGACTAGAGGCCACAAAGGATGTAGTGGTGTTAAAAATCTACTAGGTAATTCGGTGTGAATTATTGATATACCTACCCTTGTAGTGGCTCTGCTGACATCTTTCTTGCTGCTAATGAAAAACAAGATACTCGGTTTATCTCTGTGCTGTTTCTTGAGTTCTGAATAAGTGTACTCTGGAATTGCGCAGCTTATTTCTTATAACATGTATAACGGTATCGATGTACCAGTTCAAAGATGCAATTTACTTCTTGCAATCTAGGAGCCTGGAGTCTGAAAGTTTTTCTTAGAGCACAGATTAAAAAACAGCAGTATAATCTACTCCTACTCAGTCTGTCCCTCTCCCTACCTTTCCTGTCAGAAATATAAAATAGCAGGTTCATAACTCATGTTAAATCTAGACTGTGTCTATTTTCTTGAGTTCTGTCTTGACATACTCAAATGAATTATCTTTCAGTGAAGAGATGGACTGAAACATTTATAGAAAATGAGTGTCTCTAAATGCGCCAGTCCTACAAAATCCTCACGAGGCCTTTGCTTTGAATTAAGCGAATTCTTTATCTGCTGGCGATGCAAACAGCAAAAATCACCAGGTTTCTTTTCCTTGCCCTTCATAACATATCATATCATAAAAATCATCCTAAAGGATCCCTTCCTTCACCTTTGACTTTACCAGTTTGGACAGGGCTTTGAGCAACCTGGTCTAGTGGAAGGTGTTTCTGCCCATGGCAGGGGGTTGGAACTACATGAGTTTTAAGTTCCCTCCCAACCCAAACCATTCTGTGATTCTATGGTTGTCTCTGTGGAGTCCAGTCTAACAAGCCATGGAACCTTTTAAGCAACAGTTGACAGTTACACAGCATATGTAACTTTCTAAATCCAAATCCTCATTGGAGAGCTGTTACTCCCACACTTCTCAGTCCCTTTTGGCTACCATCTGGAACAGCAATAAACCAAAGCTAACTCTTTTCATTATCGTCTTAAATCCAGCTGAAAATAGCTCCCCCACCCCTGCCTAATAAATTGTGTGATTAAATTTCAGCTGAAAAGTTTCTGTTGAGTCATTGTTGTGGTTTAACCCTAGTTGGCAGCTAAACACCTCATGGCTGCTTGATCAATCTTTCCCACCCGCAGTGGGGAGAGAGTCAGAAGGGCAAAAGTAAGAAAACTTGTGGGCTGAGGTAAGAACAGTTTAATAATGAAAATAAAAATAATAAGAAATTGTAATAAAAAGAGGAAAAAAATAAAAGAGCAATAAAACCCAGGAAAAAAGAAGAGATGCAAATGAAAAACAATTGCTCATCTACCACCAACCAAATAATGCCATCCTGTTCCCAAGAAGCAGGCCCAGCAGTCAGCTTCCCCCCCAGTTTACATACTGAGCACGACACCATATGGTGTGGGATATCATAGAACACTTAGGGTTAGAAAGGACCTTAAGATCATCTAGTTCCAACCCAACTGCTATGGGCAGGGACACCTCACACTAAACCATGACACCCAAGGCTTCATCTGACCTGGCCTTGGCTCCTTCCTTGCTCGTCTGGGGTCAGTGTCTCAGCTGTGTCCCCTCCCAACTTCTTGTATACCCCCAGCCTCCTCAGTGGTAGGGCAGCATGAGAAGCTTCTGATCCAGGATCAGGATGCGCAGTTCAAAGCAGAATAACCCATCACAGTATTAAAACCAAAATGTATTTTAGTAGCTCAGGCAGATGTTGTGGCCATCTTATGTGTTCAACCTAGTGATGCTTGTAGGCTTTGCCTAAACACAGGTCTGTTATATGCATGTATTTTCTTAGACTAACCTCTGGAGTATATACAGAGAGATTTTGAGGATATTAGGAATTTCTCCAGGTTTCCCATGTATCTGGTGGTCTTGTCAGTGCCCCACATAAGCTTCTAGGTATCTGGAAGCTAGGATAAATGGTCCCTGCACAGGAATATATTGCATGGTTAGCCCAACATCAGATACATTTCTAAGAGCTGCATTTGCAGAGCATGTGCATAGATACTCATCTTGTGAATCTTACGCAGAAATGCAGTGACCCTGCCTTGTTAAAGTGGTCTGCAATATAACACCCAGTTCTTTCTTGTCTTGAAAATTGTAGACTTCCTTGGGAAACCTGACTTTTCTCCAATCATTACAGAAATAAAAACATTCTTGAGTGGTTTTAAGGTACAGTAAACTTAGTTCAGCAGCCAAGTGCTTTATTTCAGTAGCTTTTTTTCAAAGGGGAAGCTGTCTTCCAAGTTTTCCATAAAGTACCATTTGAATGTTAAAAAAAAATCTTATGCAGATAGTCCTGACAGTCCATTCACACAGTTATTCAAACCATGAACACGACTCCATTTGATCTTTATCACAAAGCTCGAAGTAGAACCGTGTTGGCCCCTAGCCACTGTAAGATTTCTGTTTGGGTATACACCAAATCTACCGCTCAAGTCTGGGTTAGCATTGCAAATCATGTGCAGGAAGGTAGCCAGGAAGCCTGCATCAGTTTGCCCCCCTCTGGCTGACCAGTACCTGTCAGCCTGGTCATGAAGTAGACTGATAGATGGATACGTTTAGGCCTCCCTGCCATGTATTCACGTTCATAAGCATTTTCCTGTCTCAGAATGTCACAAGATTACGGATACCAACATCTTGGCAGGATCCAGAACTGTAACTAAGTCCATGGCTTTTTACTGATGCCTTATCCATTCTGATTCACCTACAGTTTAGGATTCGTTTCCTCTGGACTCCTGCAAGTTAAAATTATCACCTAAAGATGCTCAAGGGAGTTAAACAGACTGAGGGAACCCTCTGTGAGCTTGACATCTCTTTTAAATATTTTTAGTCAATATTCATCAACTGGGATGTTCCACATAAAGTGGAAAACTTAAAGAAAGAGCACTTGTGGTTATTCATGGCAATCTTGCAGGAAGAATGCTTGTGGTTAATGCCTCAGGGTGGGGGAATTACATTATCTTCCTGCAGGGATTTTTGGCTGTTTTTTCCTATGGGTTCTATGGGATAAAAGTTGATTAAAAAAAAATAATATTTATTTTCACTTTTTAAAACTTCTAAACCTCATTTTTAAATTAATATTGACTGAGCAGCCAACACATTTTCAGTTTTCCTTCAATACATTGTCTCTATGCTGAAGTGATCTATTTCAGATGTCTGAAACCAGGCTGAAACCAGGACACTGAAAAATATTGCTTAATGCCTGTAAGCACTGTCACAAATCAATAACTTTGAAATTTGTTCTATTTGTACTTTAAGTTGGGCGTATCACTTTAATTCACTCTGTTTACACCAGAATAAAAGTGGATATGCACAGCTGTCACAACGCACATGTATATGTTGAATAATAGTCCTTTAAATTGTAGAAAGAATATAACTTTGATGTTTGCAATATTAACTGTATTTTTATGGAAGCTCTGCAAAAAAAAAAGTGCAAATTCAAAATGTCACAGGAAAGTGCTTTGTTTTGGTGGTTAAAAATAACCTGTGGACAGTGACCTCAGTCACACTAAAATAATGTTTTCATATAGAAAGTATTTTAAGAACTTATTAAACATATAATTAAGGAAGAAAAACCATATTTTCAAGGTATTTTATGTGGCAAACAATTAGCAAAGCAGTGCTGTTAATAACACCAGCTTTTAACAGCAAGAAGAGCAATGCAAAAGAATTCCAAATTGTGTTATGAGAAGAAAGGATGTTGAATTTGTGAGTTGTATTTTCCAGCAAACACAGGCAGCCCTGCTGAAGTTCAGTTTTCATGTTGCGTAGGTGTCTGCATCTTGAAGATGAAATTTATTCACTCTTGTTATTTGATACATAAACTTTAGGACTTTGATCATTTATCTGTGGTGTCAATTTAGTGATAATGGGATTGTTCTAAGCATTTTGAACAAGTAAAATTTGAAGAAGCTTAAGCATCCAAATGTGAGAATTAAAATAGAACAGTATTCTATCTGTGAATTAAAAGACTTAACCAATTAGGCTGAATATTTAGACATTTTAATGCATTTTTAACCAAGGCTGTGGTAATGCAGTGAAACGGATACCCTGAGATGATCAGCTTTCTGCTTCTCCTTGTGTTCTCCAGGACTCCAAAAACTACCGTGGCCCAGCCAACTATTCCAAAAGCAAGTAGGTTAATGTGTCATCATCTACCAGTTGTTTGATATTTAGAATGAAGATTCACTCTCTCAAAATGTCTTCACCAAAACTTGTTTGCTCTTAATGTTACAGAAATTTCTGCACTTCTAGCCAAGACTGTAGCCTCCTTTATAATTCTCTGAACAGTGTCAAAGTACTGCCTGCTTCAGAGCATTTACTACATATACAGTCAAGACCAAAACAGAGGACAATTGTGATTACCCAGCTGACAGAAAAATCTGAACCTTAAAGATCTAGTACAAGGATATATTCAAGAGAAACGCACAAGCTTCTCCTCCTGAGGATGTTATGGTTTAGGACAGGGCAGACTAAATACATGCATGAATTTCTACATGATAAGTGAAACAATGAGCAGAATTATTCTGTGCATTAAGTCAGTCAATCACACAGGCTACAAACAGTCAAATTTATAGGAATGTGGTTAGCTCTGCTTCCCCTTTTCTTGCTCATAGGAGCTGCAGTTATTAGTAACCTGGAAAAGCACGGTGTTACGTGCGGTGGTTGTGAGCTTGGTCCCATGCATCCCTGGAGGTTATCCTCTGTCAGGTAACCCTGAAAGTTCAGCTGTGCTACCCCTAAATTGGAACTCCTTTGTGTCTGTTTATTTTTCTTGCTTCCTTTTTTTTTTTCTGATGTATAAAAAGAACTCAGATGTGCTGTGCTGGTGTTTTGCAGTATCCTGGCCATGAACCTGTCAGGATGTTCTGACTAGCTCCAGTCATACGGATTAAAAAGTAAGCAAGTTCAGAAATCACAGAATTGATCACAAGTGCTTTGGATTTTTGTAATTCTGCGAACATCATGTTTACATTTCATTGTGGCAAGACGCCATTACTGCACATGTTTAAACTATTTAAAATAATGCATTATTTTGTTATAAATAGTGATCTACTGCTTAATTAACCAAGTCAAAAACTTCAAAGGGTCACGCTGTGGGCATGTAAGTAATCTGTGATGGTTTTAAATTTCGTCTAAAATCTTTACATTTTATCTTAACATTTTGTCTGGAAACATGTATTTTTCTTCTTTCATAAATTAATAACTCCTAAATTCCTATGAAAACGAGTTCACCAGAAACTTCCTTCTTTTCCTTACTTGGGGCTGCTGATTCTTAGCCTTTTTGCCATTTATAAAATAAATTACAAGGTTCAGTTTCTCATATGTTCAGCCATTGTTGCGTTCAGAAATACGGCTTTTAGAAATGTTTTTTTCAGGTATGGTTTGTAAGAAGCAAACACATAGATATTGGACAGTCTTGTATGCTAGATTCTCTTCCAGTTTATAGTACAAGGTTGGTTGTTAAACTTTTTTAGGGTCAGGACATTTGTCTTCTCAAGTATTTTACAGGCATAGTACAGGTGAATCTCCACAGTCTGGAGCACATTATTCCCTTTAGTAGACCAATAGTTATTCACCAGTGTCCAGGAAAACCTGAGCTAGCAGGATTTAAATGAAATAAAATTGAAGCAAAGTGTAAATTAAAATAGGTCCTCATTTAACCTGCATTTCCCCCCCCCCTTTTTTTTTAAAAAAATACACTTTGAATTGCTGGTTTCAAATGTTAGAAAGGTATTGCAGGACAACAGAAAAGATGTCTGTGTTGTTCTCCTTGGCTTGGCTCCTGCATGCAGACCATCTAGAGGAAGGAGGACTGAGAAGCTTCTGCAGAGGATAGCAGGGCAGGCATGACAAAATCAACAAGGACTGGAGAGATGAGCGTCGAAGGTTTCTAAGAAGCACTGAGTGTCCTCTCTCTGAGTGCCCGAATAGACCCAAAGGCAAGCCGTAGAGGTGAGACAAAAAAGAAAAAGACTTTAGTAACACCAGGATAATCTGAGTAAACGTGGTTCAAGTCAGGAAACCACTTGGAGAAAAAGGTTTGTTCCATCCCTGCAGTAGTATGGGAAAGGTTTGTTTTCAAACCTTGTGCTTAGTCAAGCCCACCTGGCTAAAATGAGTTTTCCCTACTAAAAAAGAATCATAGAATTGAATTAGAATTGGAATAGACCTTAAAGCTCAATCACTTCCAAACCCCTGCAACGGGCAGGGACACCTTTTGCTAAAGCAGGTTGCTCCAAGCCCCATCCAACTTGGCCTTGAACACTGCCAGGGATGGGGCAGCCACAGCCTCTCTGGGTAACCTGTGCCAGCCTCGCAGGGAAGAATTTCTTCCTAATGTCTAATCTAAATCTACCCTCTGTCAGTTTAAAGCCATTCCCCCTTGTCCTATCACTACCTGTCTTGTAAAAGGCTCCTCTCCAGCTTTCTTTTAAAGCATGCATTATTGTTTTTCAACAGAACTATGTCTGCTAGTAAAACTGCAGGATAGATGCAGGCATTCCATCATAAAAGCTTTTTTTATTGGTGTTACCAGCAGGCAACTACATCCATCTAAAGAAAGTGCTGTAGATTTAACTGTGCGTCACATTATTAAACCGGGAAAAATTCTTTAACAGGCTGTAGTTGATGTAATGAACACTTGTGGAAAAGCATGGAGGGAAAAAACTGCAAGTAACATCAGCTGTGACTCTAGCTTTCAGACTTGCCTTTCAGAGTGCCCTGTCGTGATTACTTCAGTATGTGCAGGGCTCAGTGGGTATTCTCCTGCCATTAGAATCTTACAGAAGAAACAGCAGAGAAGCCAAATAATGGGATTATGTGGTATTTTAGTAGAACAAACACGTCTTGATTGTCTACACTGTTTCCAGCTGATAATCAATTGGATTACAGGAGAATTAGCTCGTCATGAGGTTCTTCCTAAACTATATGTATAAAACAAAGTGCGTGTTAATTAAGAAGCCACTGTTGCTGACTAAAGACATCTTTAGCCTTTTTCATCCCATATTTACTGAGTACTTTTTATGATTAAACAAAACCACACAATCCTCCCCGAAATCCCAACAAGCCACACCCCCCACACACACTCTCCCCCCCCCAAAAACCACAGAGCAAACAACCCCCCAAATATCACTGTACCTTTAGTAGAGAGGGTGCTACATGTAGTTGATAGTGGCTATCTAGAACAGTCAGTTTTGTTTTCTTTGTAGGACAAATTCTCAAGGCATTTGCAACACTACTTTCTTCCACTTCCATTTTTTCTTGATCTCCTTTCACCTCCGATATAAATATCTTGAGAGTTTTTGTACCCTAAATTTCTCACCTCAGAGGAAGACCGATCAAACAGAGATTCTAGAAATTAACACTGACAGAGTCGCTAACATTTTGAGAAACTTCCAATAAAATTACAGTTTTGGTGATACCATCAGGAGAAAAATTGACTTTACTCGTCAGGGCTAGTCTAGCAAATGTACAGTTTTGAACATCCAAGATGATAATTTCGCCTTTGGTCACTAAATTCTGAAATGCCTTTAACCTCTACTCATCTCTTTCGACTTCCCTAAACAAAGCAGGAGTCAGGGCAGATTTGAACCTACAGTTTAGAATAAGATATGTACCGTAAGTGAAAGCAAAATGTTCTTCTATGATTTAATAGTCTTTGCTCTGTAAGTGTGTGTATATCCAGTGTAGCATGAACAGGGAAAGCTGAATACCCATCACTAGCTAGAGCTGTGCACGTTTGAAAAGAGAATCTCACCACTTCTTATACATCATTTTATACACAGACATATTACCACTTGCAATTAAACATGGAGGGAGGAAATGAACCTACATATAAGTGAAACAGTCTGGAAATATAAAATGCCAACATTCTCAGTTTTTGCACTGGTTTTCTCAGATGCTCTTCAAGAATCTGATTTCAATGTTCTGAAACTCTAATGCTTTCCACAATTAAGTTTTTAAATCTGCCTGAATGTTGTATTCTTACAGCAATAGACAATTAGAATAAGTAATTTTCTAGAGGTTTAGTACTTCTGCAAAGACTATGAGGTTCATATGTATGTGTAAAATGTATTTTACACGGTGTAAGGTAGGTTTTCCTGTCAGGATTGCATGGTTTCCACAAGAGCAAGTTGCTGGTAAATTTGAAAAGACAAAAGGAATGTTTCAAGTTAACAGACCAAATTGTTACCTTGGCTGAATCACACTAGCCGTTGTAGCCCATGGAATGGTAAAGGTTGATGCTGCTGGTGTTCAGAAGCTGAAGTTTCAAATGATGCTGTTCTAGCATCTGGATCGTATTGCTTTAAATTTTCTAGGCACGTGAATTATTACTACTTAATATATTATATTTCATATTTTTCGATCTTTTATACTTTTACCTAACTGTGTCATATCAAGTTTCTTTACTGACTATCCTTTGTGGAATTCGGCATGTTTTGCTGTAGGGGCACGTCTCACCTTTCCCACGTTAGCATGAATTGCCTCTACGAACAGCTAGGGGGCTGTATTATTCCATTTTTAAAGCAGCAAGACATAAACCGAGGGATACAACTAGTGTCGGCCTGTCTTTAACAACTTTTTCCTTACCAGTTTGGGCAAACATCAATACCTATGCCTGTATATCAGTATTTAAAGTTTGATGGAGTCGTTTGTATAAGATAAAGAACTTCACAAGGGGCTGCAGTTTTGTCCACATTTTCAAATCCTTAAGGGTAACTAATATGTTGTGTTTCTTTACAAGCTCACTGCATTGCGCTGATTTAGTATTTATGTATTCCACTGAAATCATAATAGGGTCACATATCACATATGAAGTCATGGAGGAATTTTGCAGCTTGCTTTTGTTTTCTTTCTTTCTTCCTTCCAGGCAGTCTGATACTACAGAAAATCAACCTCTGGCAAGGAGAGGGAAAGCAAGAGTTTAGGAAAAACTTCCGGGCCAAGAACTGCTGTGGGAATCCACTCCCAGATCTGATTAAATCAGGGGGTTGAGGACGACTTTCTTTTCTTATACTTTTGCGTCAATTAAGTTGCTCTGTGATCTGGATTGCACCTCCACATGTTTGTTATTTGATTACTGTGAATGCTCATTGCTTACTTTGCTTTTGTTTTATGTTTTTCTGATAATTTCCCGAAAGCCTTAAACCGAAATAAATGACAGGTTTAGTAAAAACTCCATCTTGCTTTTGTGCTGCAAAAGCCCATTCAAGACTTCATAAGCCCCTCAAAATTGATTTTTGGAGCACTGTTATTTAATCTGTCCTTTACACAACTTTAATTCCTTGAGCAAATCCTTCTTGCCTTATTCCCACCACTAGGCACTTTGACTTCATGGTAAGCTGATAAATGTAAGACAAAAAGTGCAGTTCAGATTGTTCTCCCCCAGTCCCTAGTAATTCTCTGACTTGTCTATTCTCCCTTTCTCATTATTGAACAAAGCCTCCTGTGTAAACACTACTTTCTGTGCTCCCACGGCACACAGACGTTTTCCCATCAGTTGCTTGCTCTCCCCCACCTGCCATATCTGACTCATTAGTTTAGCTTCAGCTTTGCTTCACTTATTCATTCCCCAAAGAACTGTACTTGAAGTTCACTGCCCCGTTCTTATTCTCAGCATCCTTTCTCTTCACCTACCTCCCAGGCCCGCAGATAATAATACTGTTTAATGTTCCCTTGTCTCAGTGACTCCAACTCCAATACTTTCTTGCCAGGGTTCAATCTCTAAAAGAAGGTCTATGGCAGGGGTGAAGGGAATCTTTGGGCTAACTGTGGCCCAGCCAGTTTATTAATTCAACCTTCCTGTCAGCTCACCATTAAATTGTCATCTGAGATGCTGCCGCCGGCCACATCAACCTCAGTGCTCCAACACCACAGCTTTTGCATATGGGACTGGCTGCAGAACAATGACTGCATTTGAGTCAGTTCTTTTTGCTTGTGAGAGATTGCTGTAGGAGAAAATCCAGTAAAACTGAAAACCCAGTATTCTGACATCGCACCCCTCATAAAGCTGGCCTCGAATACCATATGGTTCTGACTACAGGTGTGGTTTGAAGCTGCTGCTGTATTCAGAGCATCTGGGTTCAGCCTGCGAGGCGACAGGAAGCTTAAAACTACATATACCTAGGGGTTCACTTATCCCAGCCTGCTTGGACATAACAGTGTTTGAAGCACTTTTTTTTCACATAAGTTTTAGTGTCAACTAAGCCCTCTATCCTCATTAAATTGTATTTTCTTTATTAAAAGTTTTGAGTGAAAGAATACCAGCTAATCCAACTAACTAGAAAGAACAAAGTAAGTAAAATCATGTAAAGACTGAAGTATTAGCTGTTAATGCTGGCAGTAAGTAGCTTGAAGTAGTTAGCACTTTCTTCCACATTATTTACATTGTAAGGGCCTTTAAACAATAATTCAGTGGTGATTATGTTGTCATCTGTCTTCTAACAAAATGCTTGTTCCTACCAGCTGTACTTCTTTATCAAACTTCTTCATAAAACTCAACAGAATAGAAAATAAGCTTAAGTATCTTGAAAATGTTCACATTAAGGACTTCTGTGTGTCTTTTTTATTCTTCATTTGACTGAAGAGCCTTATGGTTTGAGCCATTATCAGAAACAATTTGTAGGGTGGACCTTGGTTTGACTGGAATCAACCACTGACTTAATTTTACCCACAGGGGAAGTAAAAGGCAGCTGCAAAAGAATGTGAAAAGAGCAGGAGGATTGCTCCAGCCATAGGGTGTCTTATGGGGTTTGTCTGATATTTTAAATTCTTTAAAACAATGACTATGATTTGTAGTTAAGATTTATGGCAGAGTATGAACAGGCAATACTGATACAACATGGCACTTCAGGGAAGCTATGTATCTTGTGTGTTGATGTGGCACGTAAGTGATCCGCTATGAAGAGAGTAAAGTACTTGTGTTGTCACAGCACTAGTGGGACATGGAAACTAGTTTAGTCATAGAGGGAAATGATGGCATCCAGAAATCAACTTGAAAATACTGAAAATAAGTCGTCAAAGCTTACAAATAATTCACTCTCTGGAAGAAATAAAGAAGAATGGGCAATTTCTGCTGTGGAATGAATGTCCTTGTGATTTGCAAGAAGCTTTCTCAGACCTACAGTCCTGGCACAGTGTGCAGTGGCAGGAAGTTCCAAACAACTGTATGTAGTATGGACTTTCTCCTTGAATATTTTTTTTATGTTTCCAACACAGGGCTGCACTTTAAACTTCTCTGGATTAAGACATTTTAACCTTTTTTCACTTTGGGTGATAATTTTCCAGAGGGGAGCCAAAATATTGACAGGAAGAGTGTTTAGTGGCAATAGTCAGAGTTTTGGATGCATGCTTTCCAGCTGCCCTGTTATCTCTGAGCTGTCAGTAGCATTTTTGACTTTGAACACTTGAAACATGATTTCAACTTCACTGTAATAGTAAAAGTTCTGTTTTATAATAGTGAATATAGTTATTAATGCAGAGATTTGCAATGCATTGCTTTTATATGCCAAATAACCCTGTGTGTGTGTATATATATGTATTCAGGACATCAGTGCATGAATGGTTTTGCAAATAGTGGCCTGGATTTCAGGATTTCAGTCTTCTTTTCACTTGCCTTGCTCTGCTGTGAATGTTGTAGCTATTCCTGACTTGTAAATAGCAGGAGAGTAATACTACCTGTGCATCAGACAGATATACAAAGCTTATCACGTGCCATAATGGTGTCAAAATTATCAGTGAAGAAGTAATCACCTGCCTCTATCACCTAGTTCAATTTGTACTGAAGTGTTTGGGAGGCCAACCTGCTTCATTAAATACCAGCTAGTTCAAAAGCTGAAGGTGTCTTGAACCATCAATGCCATCACCAATTTAGCACTTCCTCCTCTAGAAATCTGGTCCTTGTCGTTGTTTCTCCAATTGTATCCTTGTACACGTAGCAGATAATAGATATTGCGACCATATAAGAGCATATCCTCCTTCACATTAAACCACCAAGGCAGGCTTCTGACTTAATCAGTTGCAATTTGACATCGCTACTATGACTTCATGGAGAGAACGGATGCTTTAGACAGTTCAGGGTTTTATTTATTTTTGATAGGATTGCAGATCTGTTTGTTCAGAAAAAGTGGCAGGAGAGGAAAACAAACAAACAAACAAATATAAAGCTTCCACTCGGGTTCTGTGGCTGTCATATCCGCTGTCTCTCCTGGCATATGCTAAGCTTTTAAGTAAGTGTTTCTGAAGTACCTTCGAACAGTTTAGCTCCATCTGCCAGCCAGTTCTCTCTATAAAAGTGGCCAGCCTGATCGTCTTCCATCTCATGAGGCAAGGGAAACTCCTTTAGGCAGAATTTATTGTGAGTGGAAGCAAATTCCTAAAGTCAATGGAACAAACAGCCCATAGACAGAATTGCCAAGTAATATATATACTGATTTTTTTTTTTCTTTTTATTATTATTGGGCTGCAGCTAAAACATAAAACGACCTGAACCAAATTCTCCGCGTATGAAAACAAGGAAATCTGGAAACCGACGCTATTTTAGGCTAATTGCGTTTTGTTGGGTTTCAGAGGAGCGCTACATAGTAGCAACTGTGGGAAAACCACTAAATAGTTCTCTGTTTGAACCATCTGTCTCGACTATGGGACATATGTTCGCTTTGTTTATTCAGGAGCCGAGTGGAAGCCGATACATTCAGCTCGACCCCGGCCCACGGATGGCCCGCGCAGAGCACCGCGCGGCGCGGCGGGGATGCGCACCCGCGGTCCCGCCTCCCCCCGGGCGGTGCTTCCTCCGCTCCGCAGGCGCGGGGCCTCCCCCGAAGAGGGCGGCAGGGGGAAGGCAGGCGGTGCGCTCCAGTGCGGTCCTCCCCGCCGCTCCTCCGGGTGGCAGCCGGGCTCCCCGGGCTTCCCTCTTGGGCGGACGAGAAGCCGAGTCACCCCCGCCGGGCGCAGGCAGCAGCACCGGCCCCGCCACCCCTCCAGCAGCTCGGTTATTTGGCGGCGGCTCCCGCTCGGAAGCGCCTCTGGAGCGCCGTGCCCGAGGGCTCCCGCAAGCGCGGCCGCTCCGCCCGGGTCGGCGGAACCAGAGCAGCCGCTCCCTCCGGCGCTGCGCCGTCTGCCGTCCCAGTTCCCGCTGCCAAACTTTCCCACCCCTGCCGGCAGCAGCAGCAGCACCTTCCCCCGGCGGCGGAGGCGAGCGCACCGCGCAAGCTGCGCGCCACCCCCCCCGCGCACCGCCTCCCTGCGCAGGCGAATAAATAAAGTTGCGGTGTGAGGAGAGCGGAAGAGGCGAATCGCCTGCGGGCGGCTCGGGCACCCCAAGGAGCCGCAGCCGGGAGCCGCAACTGCCTGCGGGGCTGCCAGCGGCTCGCCCCGGGTGCGCGCCCAGGGGCGGACGGACGCCGCTGATCTCGTCCCGTCCCCCCCGTCACACCCCCCCTCCCGCCTCGTGTTGCTCTCGGTCCCTCCCTGGGAACAGGCGCTGCCCACCCAAGGAGGCGACCGGCGGTGCTGCCCGGCTCCCGCTTGCTCACTCGCACACACATACACCCGTGCGGGCGCGTCTCCCGCGCTCTCAGTGAAGTCGGGGCTTGTGTCTCCAGGTTGCTCAGACCTGAAGTCTAAGGGAAAACGCTCAGCGTTTGCGTCGCTGCTCCTGCCGCTGGTGCTGGGAGCGGTGAAGAGGAGGGAGGGGTGGGTTTTTTTCGTTGTTTTGTTGGGTTTGGGTTTTGGTTTTTTTTTTCCTACTTTAATTCAATGGATCTGAACTTGGAACCTTTGGACCTCGGCGGTTTTGGAATATCTTCATGCTGATCTTCCTTGTTGTGACACATCAGCTTGTTTGGGGAAACCATCCGAAGACAGCAAGATGTTCCTCGTTATCTTGTACTTCGCTTTGCCCTTAGTGGGTAAGTTGCTGGCGTCTGATTTCTGCCTCTACATCGCTTCATAAAGCAAAGCGTGGGGTTTATGGGATCGGATGCCTGACGGTTGTCAGTCTATTGTTTAGGCAGAACAGTGAAGTTTCCAGTAGTTTTTATGGTTCTGCCGCGCATCAGTTAGCCGAGTCTACGCTTAAAGCTCTGGGAGACTACAGACTGAGATACTCGCCTGCGTAAGCCTCTTCTTAAATCGGGTACTCGCAAGTTACAGGAAAACTTTTCATTTTAATAAAGCTGC